TGGGGAGAAGGACTTGGGGTGCTGGTGGACGAAAACCTGAATTTGAGCCAGCAATATGCGCTTGCAGACCAGAAAGCCAATCGCATCCTGGGCTGCATCAAGAGAAGTGTGCCCAGCAGGTCAAGGGAGGTGATTCTGTCCATCTACTCTGCTCTGGTGAGACCCCAGCTGCAGTACTGTGTCCAGCTCTGGAACCCCCAGCACAAGACAGACATGGACCTGCTCGAGCCAGTCCAGAGGAGGGCCTCAAAGATGATCAGGGGGCTGGAGCACCTCGCCTATGAGGACAGGCTGAGAGTTGGGGTTGTTCAGCCTGGAGAAGAGAAAGCTCCAGGGAGACCTTCCAGCAGCCTTCCAGTACTTAAAGGGTGCCTGCAGGAAAGATGGGGAGGGACTCTTGATCAGGGAGGGTAGTGGTAGAAGAAGGGGTAACGAGTTCAAAGTCAACGAGGGTAGATGTAGGTTAGCTATTAGGAAGAAATTCTTTCCTGTGAGGGTGCTAAGACATTGGAAGAGGTTTCCCAGAGAAGCTGTGACTGCCCCATCCCTGGCAGTGTCCAAGGCCAGGTTGGATGGGGCTTTGAGCAACCTGGTCTGGTGGAAGGTGTCCCTGCCCATGGCAGGGGGATTGGAACTAGAGGATCTTTAAGGTCCCTTCCAACCCAAACCATTCTATGATTCTATGTATGACACAGTTAAACAGTTACTTCTTTCTTAAATGATAAACCTAAAATAACTTCTAGTGACTTAAGAATAATATCAGGAGAGCAACTGTGTAGCCAGCAATTGTATAAAGCCTTGTTGTCACATCAGCATCTAAAACAGGTACAAAGCTTTTCTTAGAAAAGACTGTAGAATGCAGTCTCTTAATATAATTTAGATAGCTAAAGTGCTTGGGTTTTGATATGCTCTTGTTTAAGTTGTTTAACCTATCCTAACAGTAATGCAGGCTTACCCTCTCTCTCTTTTTTTTTCCTCAGGATCTCTACAAATCTGCTTTCTTTTATTTTGAAGGCATCTTTTATAATGATAAAAGATACCCAGAGTGCAGAAATCTGAGCAGGTATGGTATTTGTGGATATTGACTAAGGAAAACCTTAAGGGACAGGAAGTTTCTTTCATTTTGGTCATGATTTGTGGTGTTTTAAAGACTGGAATGTCTAGTGTGTGAAGCTAAAATGGACTTTTCATACTATCTTTTCATGTTGAATTGATTTTTACGTAGAAGTTTACCTTTACTTGCCCTGCTCATTCCTTCCACTCACTTCCTTTCTGAAAAGGGGATGAATGCATTTTTTTCCTTGCAAATCCTGTTTTGCTCTGTTGAGTTGGGATTGATGTGGAAGGTGCCAGGTGCCAGTCTGTACTAGCTTTTGAAATGCCCTCCCTAGTTGTCATGACCACCAAAAGACTTGCCTGTGAGGCAGCAGATGGGTCAGAAAGACCACAAGCTCAGCTGTGTGGAAGCCTTGAAAATACGCTGAATGCCTTCATGGTAAAGTGAACAAGGGGACTGTGTGACTGTTGGGAAAAGAAATCTGAGATGACATTGCCAAGGGTCTCGGGTATCTTTTGTCTGGAACTATAGCTCACGCTGGTTAAACACAAGTCATATTAATTTAAACTATACATAGCAGTTTATTTTAAGGAAGTATGAGCTCGCTGACACACTACTGAGATTTAGGAGATCAGGATGTTAAAATGGATGGTATGGAAGAGCTGTGAGTTTGGACTTGATGTGTGACTTCAGAGAAATTAATTATTTTGATCCTTCTCTTTCTGTCCGTGAGAAGCAATGATCTTCATGGAAGCGCATAACAGAACATAGTCACTGTGTGGAAGTGAAATGCCTTGTAAGTAGTAGTGTGCTGAAAAGCCAAAAAATAATTGCAACAGTGGCCAGTGTCCTTCCAGTGCTAAATTTTGGAAATGTAACTGTGCGGTTGTCAGCTTTGTGTTTCTCCTTGGCAAAACCAGAAAAAATCTCTTTAATAGTTTAAAACAAAGTTCTGGAGCAAGGGAGCAAAAATCACCTACTGGTAATTTGAATTACTGGAATGCTTGAGAAGTGTTGTGCTGCAAACAACCTGACCTGGACAGGTGCCATAAGGAGCGTGCACTCTGACTAGAAATCCTTGGGAAGCTGCCTGGTGGGGATTTGAAGGTGTTCCACAAGAACAGTGCACAGTTCTGTTGGGTTGTGGTATTGCTGTGAAATTACCATAGATCATTACAAACTTGTGAGCTGTTTTGATTTCCATCTTTTTAGCTGCGTCCCAGTGAAGAGTTCTGCACGTCCCCCAGGGCCCTCCGTTTCTGTGCATTCAGAGTTTATAGCGTGGCTATGCTGATGACCTTTCTGTTTTCAGAACAATTATTGAGTGGTCAGAATCTCATGACAGAGGATATAGTAATCTTCAGTCTGTTAAAATGGAAGACTACACATTTAATGATTTGTCCCTCAAAATTGGCTTTCCATACCTTTTCTGCCACCAAGGGAACTGTGAGCACATCATTATCATCACAGATATAAGGTAAGTTACAGCTCTTTGGGAGTCTATAGGCAGCTGAAAGCAAGCCTTCTGTGGACAGACTTCAGACTTTAAATGCTGATTATTTGTTAGATTAAGACTATTCTGCTGCCTTCTGCAGGACTAATTTAAGATTTTATTACCTCTGCAAGGAAGGAAGCAATCTCCCTTGGATCTTCTTTTTAAAAATAATTTGTCTGTATAAAAAGACTGCTTTCTAACTGTCATGGCAGTGACACAGTGAAAAGCTCTTTTCTATGCAGAGCCAATGTGTGGCAGATTTACATAGTGATTCTGGAGCACCAGGGAGCAGAGTGGTCTTAATGGCTCTGGCTGGAGTCAGCTGGACTTGTTAGTTTACACTTCGTGATAAGAGGCAGGAACTGAAAAGAGAACAGAGTGGGAATAGTGGGCTGGGGTGAATAGGCAAGGGAGAGGAGGAGGAGGTGACAGTGGCTGTGAGATGGCAACCACAACAGTAGAACTATTGTGTATACTCTGCTCAGTGCATAATGGGTAGAGAGAGCACTGATTGTCTGTAATAGGTGATAGATCATTTTCAGTTCCCAGAAGTCTGATGTACCTAAGCACTGTTAATAAATGGTGCCTTCCAAGTGGAGTACAACCCAAAGAAGGGCATAGATGTTCCAAGTAGATTGTCTCAGGATTATGAGCTTCTGATCATTCACTTGGTGATGTTTTTGTCTGTTAGTTTATGTAGCAGATAAAAGCTTTGAAAAGACTGTCTAAAGTAGATGGTTACTACACATTTACTCCTGACCATAAAATCCACAGATATTTCAACTAGCAGTCTATCTCCAGATCTTCATCTGTGTTGAGAAATGCTAAGCGGAATTCTAGTCATAGTTTACACAGGAATTTAAGTCATTCCTTATCGTCAATGCTTATGTTCAGGTGAATTCCAGTGTGGTTGAGTCTTTATTGTGGTTTATGTATTTATTTATTTTCCTCAAGGCTCATTCACCATGATGACTGCCTGGACAGGAACCTCTATCCTTTGCTAATCAAGAAACACTGGTTATGTACCAGAAAATGCTTTGTGTGCAAAATGTATACAGCCAGGTACACTACATTCTCAATCCTTTTAAATTGTCTGCTTAATTAAATCTCTCTAGGTGCTGCTACTAACTAAAAAAAAAATAATTAAACTATTAAAGCTCTGTATGTATTTGATAAGGTGTGTGAATAATCTTTATGCAACTATTCTGATATCTTACTCTTCAGGCAGTTGTCCTCTCTCTACCCAGGAAAAGGCCTCTTGCAGGTAGCGTTCATTTGGAGATGGTGATGTAGGATGATCAAGAGAATTGAAATGGTGAAGACGTTGTTTGGCTGAGGTTCTTTTGCATACATAGAGCTTCACTCCTGATCAATTACTTTTGAAAATCTTACTTTTGGAGAAAAGGCTGCCTTTTTCCCCTGTGACAATACATGTGATTCAAATTCATTTGCCAGAAGTCATACAGAGCTTTCATTAATCCAGCATCTTAAGTAGAGGGAAGTATGGATCTATCCAATTTTAGTATAATAAAATGTAGAGATTTTTAAAAGGCATGTAGCTTTCTCCACAGGTAAACTCCTAACCTCTACCTGAAAACTCTGTGCTGTGCAGCTGTACTTGAAGGAACTTTTTGTGGTGCACAGAGAGGACAAGAGGAAATGGCCTCAAGTTGCACCAGGGGAGGTTTAGCTTGGATATTAGGAAAAACGTCTTTACTGAAAGAGTAGTTAAACATTGAAACAGGCTGCCCAGGGAAGTGATGGAGTCACTGTCCCTGGAGGTGTTAAAAAAACCTGTAGATGTGGCACTTAGAGACATATTTTAGTGGGCATGGGGTTATTACATCAACGGTTGGACTTGATGATCTCAGAGGTCTATTCCAACCTAATGATTCTATGATCATATTCTACCATTTTCTGCAGTTAAGAGAGCAGAATGTGAATTCAGTGCTCTTTATACACTTTAGTGCTGTTCACTTAGAGATGAGAAAGCTTTTCAATGAACACAGCAGAAATTTCTCTAAAGGAGTTCCACAAACTACGTTAGGCTAGGCTCCTTGATTTTATAGGTCTGAATGATTTATTTACAAAAACACCAGCTGTACTCTTTTTCCCTCAGGGCAGCTTACACTCTCAGCCTCGGTTTGACACAGCAGCTGTGTCCTTGTTGTCTTGCTTGTTTGGCCTTAGACTTCCCTGGAATCAAGCAAAGAACCAATTCCCCATGTGACTGGAGCCCATCCTAGTGTTCCTGGCAGAGCCCCTTGGATCCCTTCACAAGTGGCTGTAATCTGTGAGGCATTTGGCCATAAGGGGAGGTGGAGCCAAAGGGTCAATATGGGGGAAAGATCGGGTGGGGAGGGCATTACCAGAGGTGATGTAAATGCATTAAATTAAAACCAGGATTAAGCATTAAGCTTAAGTGGGGAGATGCTAAACCATGGATGGCAGAGCTGCTTTGGCTGGCTGTTCTGCATGTTCTAATCTGTGGAGAGAGCATCTTTAATCACTAGAGGCCTTGAGCTGTCATGGCCTCTGAGTGCTACCAGAAATTAATTGCTTGGTGAAATGGCAGGCCCTCCTGGTGCTGGCAGCTGTGTTCATGTTAACTTCAGTGCTTACTGGAGTGTGCAGGAATCCTCTCCTTGTCTTGTCTGCATCATCCAGGCCCTTCTGTTAGACCCGTAAATGGATTTGGTTATTACTCAGAGTAGTTTGGGTCAGTGACATGTCTGGTCTATATCACCGTTTTTTACCTTAAGGGAAAACAGATTTATCTTTTATGACTTTAATGGCCATAGGGTAGACAGAAGATTCCTTTTAATTTTTTAATTTTTTTTTTTCTACCAGCTACACAGGTTTGAGGAGTTCCTCAGGAAATGCTGGTGTAGCAGTGTAAGAGAGCAGCTGGGATTGGCACTGGGTGGGTGTGGAGTTTGGAAAACAGCTGTATGCCTGGGGTGGGAGATACGCAATATAAATAGTACTTGGACAGTATAATATAGTTACTGATGTTTGTTGCTGCCATCCCCAACTCTTGAGTAAAATGTTGAGATGTTTGTCACAAATGTGTTGGACTCGTGGAAAACACTTGTGTTTTGTAACCTGCAGGTGGGTAACCAACAAAGACAGTCTGGCACCAGAGGATCCTTGTTTCTTCTGTGATGTTTGTTTTCGGATGCTCCATTATGATGCGGAAGGAAATAAACTGGGGGAGTTTCTTGCATATCCTTATGTGGATCCTGGAATTTTCAACTGAAGCTGACGTGAACCACAATGAATTCAGTGAACTACATTGGTGAATCTGTTGCTCTGGCTGTTAAAACCAGCAGACAGCTTGAGTTTTGAGCGTACTGCTGGGTTTTGAGTTAGGCTTTTAATCCTCTTCCCAGAGGTGGAAGGAGCCCTTTGCACTTGAAGTCTTTCTGGTGTGCTTTTCTGAGTAAGTAAGTATGATTTAAAAAGATGTTAGCATGGAAAAATATGCTCAGACATCTACTTTGTTTTAATCAGTTACATTTTTAATAAACAGTAACAGTAGTTTGGAGACTATTGACTCTAAAAATATGGATGTTTAAAGAGAGAACATCTTGCAAAAGCAGCAATGATTTTGAGAAGTTCTATGCATCCAGATCTTTGTTCACCTCAGTGGATGAGAGTATGGGGTTTGGGCATCTTACCCTGAAAACTCCGGCAGTTGTCATCTCTGATCAAGGCTGGATAGCACTGAATTTGTGGTGAGGAGAATGCTTTCTGAGAGAGAAGCTCAGAGTCTGTGTTAACTTCTGAGGCCTTTCCTGCAAACAGAGGGGTGCTTGGATCTATAAGCTACTGCTGTCCTTGCATTTTGACTGAGGAGTGATTCCATGAAGAGTAAACTACGTTTCACTGATCGGTGAATTGTAGCCTGCCTTTCAAATAACTTTGTTTACAGTGGATGCAGTTTTAACTGTTCATAAAGTAGTATTCATTGTGCACTTTTTTTTTTAGTAACATTCTCTTATTGTAAGTATTGGTTTTTTATTAAAACGTGACCAACTTGTACTTGCTAGTCTGATGTTAAGTTGAAACACTGCTTGCCAAGGCAGAAGATACTTACCTAGTGCCTGGCTTTTAGTGTCGTCTGGAATTCAGAGGATTTTAGTGGAGATGATTGCTGTTTAGGAAAGCCAGTAGTGCTAACTGCTTTTCTTTTGAAAGCTTTGGCTAGTTCTTAAAAAAAACGTAGTCCTGGTTGATGTAAAAAACAGCCAACTCTGATAACTGGCATACAGAAATGTATTTGACAGATTGAATTCTGTTCAGATCCTGTTCAGCAAGTGCTTACTTGATTCTCTTGGATGTCTTGAAACAAAAGTGTCATAAGCATTTGCAGGACTCTATTTATGACTCACATACTTGACTGCTTTCCAGTGGTGTATTAAGTCATGTGAATATAAATTTATGCCTCTTTTGGGACAAAAAAGAGGGTGAATTTTTTTTTTTTTTTTTTTTTTTTGGCCTTTTGAGTCAGCCAGCTGTTGGCCGGTGCATTTTGAAAAAAGTAGTGAACCAAGCACTTGTAACAGCAGTGGTGATAGCTCTGTTATCCTTCAGGAATCTGCAGAAGAGTGAGTGCCCTGCCCACCACAGCTGTCACCAGTTAAACTGCTAGGGCTGGACTGCTTTGTGTGCTGTGGCAGCTGCTTTAAAGATACGCCACAACACAATTCTGGTTGCAACTTCATTATTTGCCTCGTAAGTTGCTACTCTTCATCTTTCCCCAGCCACCTCCTCTTCCAGCTGTCTCCTGGTAATACACGGGCTTCCCAGTCCTCTTCAGTATTGGAACTGAGATCATGTAGACAGCTGGCATAATTTCTGAAGATAATTGTTTGCTTGTTTGATGGCTTCTTATGCTGGATTCTAAGGTGGCAATCAGTAGGTTTTTTGTGGTTTTTTTTTCTTTCTTTCTTTAGCAGTAAGGAGAAGGGAGCGGCCGAAATGTGAATTTATTCTTTCATTAAACTAATTTTGCCTTGGTATGCTATCTTTCAGCAATCCATTTACCTTCTTTCCAGTAAAAAGTTATGGTCAAATATATTTCAAAATTGCTGTCCCTGCAGTTTAAGAAATTTTGCTAGGGCCAGTCCCATATTTCCAATAAGGCAAAGAGAAGCTGGTCACAGTCTGAGTGTGGGAGCTGAGTGCATCCTGTGCCTAGTTACAAAATAGAGAAGAACTTGTATTAGAAACTGCTGTTGGTGTGTTCTGGTCCTATTTCATATTGAGTGATTCAACTTAAATGACAAATGGAACAAAAAGGTTACACTAAATCATAGTTTTTAAAGATAGTTTACTTCCCAGGAGCTGTCACTGGACAGCTGTGTCTGGTTTTTATTTAATGTGTCCTTCTGAATGAGTCCTCTGAGTGAAATACAGCATATTGCACCCAGCTGCCCATTTGTAGTAAAATTTCTGTGACACCAGCTGGATATTTGTGTTTTGGCTACTTGTTAAATGCTGTTATGCTGTTAGAGTTTCAGTGATCAAAGCTTCTAAGCAGGTTTATTACTTTATGATGAAAAATGAGAAAATATTATTTTAGTAATCCCTTGTCTGTGTGTTTGGTCTTTATGTCTGATTCTGGTTTTGTTTTGTTTGGTTTTTTTTTAAAGCAAGACAATCAGCAATTTTTTCTTGTAAATCCCTTGTTATAATAAACTGGACGTAAGGGTATGGAACTTGGAGATGATTTGAATTATATTTAAATGAAAGTTCAAGGGTCCTGCCTGCTGCCATGTGAAAGACTTGTGTCTACTTATTTGGGGGAAGCAAAAAGGCTAGAGTATTAAAAACTGCAGTTGAATCTGTTGAATCTAAAAAGCATTAATCTGAATCTGTGGTTGGCTTTTTGCTTTGAACTTTTTAAATGCTTAGTGATTTGGCAGTATGAACCTTTATAACATTTCAGACTTCTGAAGGGTCTTGGAAATTCTCTCCCTAATGAAATTTTTTGTCTTGCTGACAAGATGGCGATAGAGAACGCTGTTTCTTGTGTTGAGGAAGGGGAGAGGCCCCTCCGATGTTACTGTTGGTGTAAAGTTCCAAAGCAAAATGTGATTCATATAGGCAGTGTTGCTTTCCACTGCTCCCTGAGCACTTGTAACATTATCACAACAGCCCCCTGTGCATTTGAATGATGAGGAGCTCAGCAGGGCTGCACAATATTTTAAGGTATAGTAAACTTGATGAATCACAGAATGTTAGGGGTTGGAAGGGACCTCGACAGATCTTCTAGTCCAACCCCCCTGCCAGAGCAGGACCACCTAGAGGAGATCACACAGGAACATGTCCAGATGGGTTTTGAATGTCTTCAGAGAAGGAGACTCCACAACCTCTCTGGGCAGCCTGTTCCAGGGCTCTGTCAGCCTCACAGTGAAAAAGTTTTTCCTTATGTTAATGTGGAACCTCCTGTGCTCCAGCTTGCACCTGTTGCCCCTTGTCCTGTCATTGGACATCACTGAGAAGAGCCCGGCTCCATCCTCCTGACACTCGCCCTTTACATATTTGTAAACATTGATGAGGTCACCCCTCAGTCTCCTCTTCTCCAAGCTCAAGAGACCCAGCTCCCTCAGCCTTTCATCAGAAGGGAGATGTTCCACCCCCTTAATCACCTTTGTGGCTCTGTGCTGGACTCTTTCAACCAGTTCCCTGTCCTTCCTGAACTGAGGGGCCCAGAACTGGACACAATATTCCAGAAGGGGTCTCAGGGGAAATGAGGAAGGGAGGAGAACCTCTCTCAACCTACTGACCACCCCCCTTCTAATACACCCCAGGATGCCATTGGCCTTCTTGGCCACGAGGGCACCTTACTGGCTCATGGTCACCCTGCTGTCCATCGGGACCACCAAGTCCCTTTCCCCTACGCTACTCTAACAGCTC